CCACTTGGAATCAAGCACATCCTTGAGAACCAGAGGTTTTGCTGGTCTTGCACTGCTTTAGAAACTTGAAAGTCAAGAGAAAGCAGTGCACACATAGTTCACAACCTCATCAGGAGAGTTAACACTTAAACCGAGCTCAGTCTACCAGGTGAGCTAGCACAGAACTCCAGATGTGGGTAAGTTCCTAAGTTAGTGCCAAAGTATTCTCCCATCATGAAGATCTCTCCGATTTTCAAGAACCACCTGATTTGTGGTGGCAGAGAACTTAAACTATTGCAAAGTCTCTGATTACTCTTCACCAAGGAACATGGCAGAGCCTGTATTTCAGCCTCCTTTTACCAGGCTAAAAGTCACACCCCACTGAAATATTCACATGTAGCTTTGTGAGCCCCACCCTGCCCCAATTCAAACGTGCATGACCAACAAGGATCATCACTGACTTGTTCCAAAGAGGCTGCTTTGTGCCCCTTGCCTCTTGTCCTGTCACTGGGCACCACTAAAAAGAGCCTGGCTCCTTTGTCTCCCTTCAGGTGTTGATACACATTGATGAGACTGTCCCTGAATCTTCTCTTCTCCAGGCTGAACAGTCCCAGGTCTCCCAGCCTCTCCGTATAGCAAAGATGTTCCTCTCAACACTCTGAACTTATAACCTTATTTATCCACTGTCTCACTGACCCACTGTCATAACCCTACAGTTATTTCACTATTCATTCTCCTGCACAAGCACAACATTCCTTATCCGGGTAGAAAGCTCTGGAACAGGCATCAGATTCCCTATGGTGCTCTCAAGAGCATCTCTCCAACACATTTTCGTGAGCACTCCCCTGGAGTGTACTGGGGACATGATTGTGATTTACCATCCTCTAAAAACCACTATGCACATTCATGTTAAACACATGTTTTGCCAACTAGCTTTATGAAACAAAAAAGAACAGAAACATGTTTCAACTCCAAAGAAATCTCAAAATTCTGAATATATTTTTCCAGACACTTATGTGATTTATAATCAGAATTTGAGAAATAGCTCCTCATTCTTTTCTAAGCAAATCAAATTTTCAAGTGAAAGAATTGTTGCTTTCTAAGTATTTGTAATAAGTGAAAAAGCTATCAAGAAATAAAAACGTAGGTGACACCAGCCTTTTACATTTGATCTACTGCATAGGCAAGGAGTAAAGTCTTCCAGCCACTACATACGATCTTAAGATGCAGCATCTCATTTTCTTTACTTTTTATGCTTTATAAGAGTGGCACAGTCTGCCCTCTCTTTACTCTTACCAAAGACAACACAAAACATTTTTCTTTTTCTTTCTTTTTAAACACTTAAAAACAAGAAACAGGAAGAAGCTAAATACACAAGCCCTCAGATTTAATTATTTATTCTTTTTCACCTCTTGTTCTCTTGCATAATCTTCTTGGTCATAGTCTTCATCTTCATGTTGTGTTTGTAGAGCTCCACTATCAAAGTCAAGGGACATTGTTTTCCAGCAACGTGTCTGTGTATCCAGCAAAACCTATCACAGGACAGGCAAACAACACGTGAGTGAAATAGGATAGGAACCAAAAAGCATCACCCTCACTTCCTTAATTATGTAGCCAAACACGCACAAAAACATCCTTTTTGAAACACACATTGCACATTATCAGTATCATTCACTTTAACGTTTGTTTCTCAGTATACCCAAGCCTACTAAATTTCTAAGAATTTAGCATTTAAAACAATTATTTGGGCTTTTCATATTAAACTAATGAAGTTCTCTTACAACCAGACACTATTTTCTTCAAACACAATATATATATAGTGTGATACATGTTGATAGTTGTGTCCCCTGGTACATCTTGCTTCATCTTCTTCTAGAGAACAACTATATTTCCAGATTTCACTCCTTAATGAAGAGACTCCCGAGGGCTCCTCTACGCCGAGCAGGGAGTTCACACTCAGCTGCAGCGTATCAGTGCTGGCCCACATTGGGTTGCAGGGTGACTTACTTCCTGATGAAGATCCTCCTTTGGGCACACAGGTGTAGCACCTGCTGAAATCTCCACTTGGTATAAAGTGAGCTTTACTGGAGCATAATTTGCGAGTTAAACGCCGGTACCTGTCTGTGCACCCCCGTAACACCCAGGACCCCTCAAAGGGGGCTCTGAGGCACCACGGCCCCGCACAAGCCGCACAAGACCACCCGCCCTCTCCCCTTTCTTTGGAGCCCTTCCCAGCCCCGGAGCGGAGGCAGCCGCACGAGAGAGCCGCGATCAGCCCCGGAGAGCCGGGCCGGGCCGGGGCAGCCCTGGAGGCGCGAGGCGAGCTCAGCCGCCGCCACCTCAACCCCCTCAGGGCGGCGGCGCGGGGCCATCGCTGCCGTTACTCGCTGCACCTCCGGCGGGGTCCCTGGGGCCGACGGAGCGCGGCCCAATCCCCAGACCCACCTTCACCGCCGGGGCCGCCACAGCCACGGCCACGCTTCCGCATCACACCCGGCCCGCGCCCGACGCGATGATTGACAGCCGCGGGCGCCAACCGGCGACCAGAACCGCGCCCGGCCGTGCTGACTGACAGCCTCGAGGGCCAACCGTGCGGGAGGGCGGGAGGGTGGGAGGCGGAGCGCGCCACGGGCCCGCCCCTGCCGATTGTTTGAAAGCAGGCGCGCATGGCCGCGGGAAAGCGTCCGGCGAGCTCATTGGCCGAGCAGGCAGCCAATGGCAGTGGCTGTTTCATGGAGGGGCGGGGTCTCTCTGAGGCGCCATCTTGCGGCGGGACAGGGCGGTTGCCTGGCAACGCCCGGCCACGGAGTGACGTCATGCGCCCGCGAGCTCGCCGTCACGACAGTGTCACGATAGCGCTGAGGGATCGCAGGCACCTCCCCTGGCCCGGCACCTTCCCCTGGCAGCCTTCTTAGGGTGCCCGGGGAACCCGCTCAGCCTCGAGAGCTCAATCTCCCTAAAAAATTAAAAGCTTCTCTCTCAGAACGGATTTCTTCTACAGAATTGCCTGTAGGAAGCATTACAAAAAAAGAAGAAGAAAAAAATAAAGAATAAACCCCAAATCCGAAAGGTTTTTTGGACAAAGGATGTTCGTTGCAGTTTGTAACAGCCCCATGTGAGGACTCGCCCCCAGCCCTGACAGGGAAGGGGAACGGTGGGAGCGGAGGCTCTCGGGTCGCTTGTCACAATTTTACTGATGGAAGCGAGCACCTAATGCCTTTCAGTGAAATTTATAGGAGCTTTGAAAAAAATGGACACACTATGCCTTGTAAATGTGACATTATAGGCGAAATTATCTGGTTTTTCCAGGGGTATTCTAGTAGCCATCAGAACAGATTAACCAATTCTCAACATTGTGACAGGCATTAAATGACTCAGAAACCAATAACAAAAAAGAGTCTAAATGTGTCTGACAATTCATATTCAATTTCTCAAGAACAGTATTTTGGAAAACTTTCAGGCAACTTTTTTTTCTTTTTAGCATAATTACTTGTAAGAGCTCCACACGGGATCTGCCAGTGTACTTTACATGAGATGGCTGCTCCACAGAGCAGCATGAATTAAAAAAAACAGCATTAATAACTCAAGGCATATAAATGTTAAAAACAAAAAACTGATAATGAATATAGTTTATTCCAGGAAACAATTTTCTATAATGCATGGATGTGTTGTGTTTGATTTGTATCTGTAATTAGTTGGATTCTTTGCTTTCTGTCACATCAAGACATTTTGAGATACTTGTTTATCGCAGTGGCACCCAATTACCTACCTTTCCTTTCTTTTCCTTCAAAGTTCTGCTTCAGACACTTAAAAAAGATTCAGGAGCATAAAAACAGAGATTTGGGTCTTTTTAACTTTTTAAGCTAGTGATATTCAAAGAGGGAGACACAGACTGCACCATCCTGTGATCCAAACATCACACACTGGCTGTGGATGTTCTAGTGCATTGGTAAAGTGAAAACTGATGAAGTGAAAAAAGTCCCTGAGTCAGCATCTTGACTGGCAAAGTCAAACAACTTTGATCTCATAGTATCATAACTCCAAATGCTCTTATTCTGGTCATGAGTAACTTGGATTTGTACTAAAAATAGAGACGGAGTTCAGCACATCTTCCTTCTATGACCTGTCACAAACCTCAGCTTTGATGCAAATATCAAACCGGCCCTATGCAGGTCTTTCTCTCCCCTTGACAGGCCAGAGAAGTAGCTGGTTTTGCTTCACTGTTTGATCAATAAAGTCATGTCAAGCACATTATGAAGTCTGGTAAGACGTGAGAACAGAAAGGCTGTTACTCAGGGGTTTAATATTCCAGTCCCAGTTTCTTCCCAGCCATCCTTGCCAGGGCACAAAGCTCCAGCATGAGCTCCTGCTGGAGGCCTTCACCTGGGAACACCTTGCATAGGATAGAACAGGCATAAGCTTGGGCTTCCTGTCTGAAGGCATCAAACATTCCAGATTATTAGCAGGGAATTGAACTGCTGTTTTAAAACCTCTCATTTCTTCAGAATATGTAATAGAGTATTCTAATCATGTTATTATCAAGGAATGAAATGCATTGTATGGCTATTGGCTGAGGATAAGAATAAAGATCTTTCCTAGTCAGCTCTAAGTGTGGCTCTTTACATTATATTTTCCCCTTCAAGGAAGCTTGTTTTCAATAATTTTATCTGTATATGACCTCTCCTCCTGTTTTCCAGAGGAAAGAGCTCATACTACAGTGTCCCACTTAACATGAGCACAGGCAAAAGAACAGAATGTATTTTTTCTAGTCAAATCTTCCAGCAATTGCTGAACTCCACAACAATTGTCTGCCTTAGGAACCTGAGCTGGTGGGCTGGGAGACAGAGAGAATTATCTCTGCTCATGCCAGAGGACATTGTTCATCTTAAAGGCACAACTTTCTCAGGCCGTCACCTGGGCTACCAGTTCATTCCCCAAATGTCCCCTGCCTTTCTTCAGTTACTTATTAAATCACTGTTTCTTCAACAGGAAGCAAAATAAATCACTGTTCACTCTGAACGTAGGATTGTTCATATTTAGAGTATTTATTGTGGCAAAACAATTAATAGATTTCCTTTAAAAGACCTTTTTCCATGTTTAGGAACAAATGGACTCTACGTGAAGAGAGGGGAAAACTGTATCTTGTTTTGGAAAGAACACTGAATAAGGACACATGCAAAGTTCAAACATCTTTCAAATACATTTTGAGTTTTCCCTCAAAATGTATCATTAGTTTTGTTCAGCTTTTCTAGTTTGTAAACAACTATGTAATCAATGAAAATATATTTAGTCTACCTTTTAAAAAGATGTCTCCAGTATTAATTGATAATAATAGTAAAATCATATGCAAGACAAAAATATTAGGATCTAGCATGCTTGTCCTTTAACAAGTTCTATTCCAAAATTATGTTACATATATTAATTTCAACTTTGTAAGTGTTCATAATCTCAAATCTTTGAGTAGTCAGTGACAAAAAATGATTAAGAAACTGGACAATCTTTCTGTATTGTGAACACTATTCATTTCAAACATTACTTGCTAGTAAAGTGCTGTTACAAGCAAAATGAAATTGTTAGTGTCTATTGAAAGAAGATGACATTTTAGTAATATTCCAATTGTACTTGTTTTTGGCAAATAGTTAAAAGCTTAGACATGTTGTTTAACCACCCAAAACTAATTCATTATAAATAACATTGGTTTCCAATAATTCTATGCTAAAAGGCACATACTAATGTTCCAGCAGTTCATTCAAGTGAGCTTTTGTATGTAGAGTTTTAATTGTGCTTTTAAATAGTTACTGATTCAGTATGACCTTGAAAGTGACATTTGTGCATGTCTAAAATACCTTCTCACAAATCAATCTCGCACTCGGAAGGTGTAATTTCGTTAAGATTAAGATTATATGTATCTATATAACTATGCTTGTTGATCTCTATAGATCTACATAGATATACACATATACATATATTCATACATACACACACAAAAGGGTTTCTTCTGGAACAGCAGCAGAAAGTGCAGTCTATATTTTTTTGAATTGTGTTCATAATAGAAAGTTCTCGGTACAGTTTTCAGATATGAATTGTTTTGGGATTTGTGAGATCCAAGGGATTATTTGTGATATTGCATGTGTCCCATATTACTTTCTTTCCTTACAGGCTGCTTCAAGCTCACTTCACTTCCAGAGGAGATGATTGGCAAATTATTTTCCATGTGATACTGAATAAGATGACCCACACTATCAAATATATGGTCTTTGGTTCTCACCTAACGAAAAAAGCAAAAAAATAAATTTATGGTTAGATTGTGCTTAGAACTAGTTGGACATGATCCTAGCACATTAAAGTCAAAAGGCATTTAAGCCACTGAACTCACTGGAGCAGGACCATTGGCTGCAGACAGCAATTCAGATCTGTCCTTTGACCCGCCATTAGGTGACATGAAAAGCAGAGGGCTGAGCTAAAGAGACTGTATGTAGAACTGGGCTGATGCTGCAAAGGGGAATTAAATAACTTTTTCTTTTTTCTCCACAGAAGAGATATTTTTTTTCCTAAATCCCACTGAGGATTACTTTTCTGATTTACTCCCTCCTCAGAGATGTCACTCAAGAGTGACATCCTCCAGCCCTGAGCAGAAACAAGTAGAACTGAAGTGACAACAAACCAGCTCTACCTTTTTTGTATCCAGAAATTCATTATTTAAGGTTAGGGTTATTTTTCTAGCAATATAATATCAACTCAAAATTTGTGTTAAGGGTATATACTAATTATCATCATCTGGACTAACAACACTATTTAAGTACCTCACTTCTATTTCCATGGTACTTCAGCGCTTATAAGTTCTTGAATTGAACTCTCAAACCTCCTGAAGCCACTGGCTACATTTAAATTAACCTGGATGGAATCAAATCAGTTCCACTTCCTGGAATGCATCCGTGCATTTTGATTGAAATACCTTAGCAGCATTGAAATTTCAGTGTATGAAATATTCATACCTTGCCTTCAGGATCCACCAAGAGCAGATGCTTTGCTTGCCCTCCCTGAAGTCCACTGAGGACAAACTGCCCAGGTGACGTTGTGCTCTCTCGCACCAGAAAATCCCCGTCATTGACTAAGAGGCTCTCTGCTGCTTTCCTGTTTAATTTGCCATGGTAACAATCTTCATTCTTTAGCTGTTGCTTTATTTGTGGCAGAACACAGAGACCAGCTGTGTTGCTCGTGGCACTCTGCTGAATAGCTTCGGGTAACTCTGAAATGAATTGAAGGGAAATGTATTGGAGACCTCACCTAGAACTTCATCCTAAAAGGATGCAAGACAGTATTTTTATAGCTTTTTAAAAATTCAAACGATTCAGTCTTGAAGCTGTGGTCAAACCAACCTTACAGACTGTAAGAATACGCACACATGAATGCTCAAAGCCCTGCAGTGCATTAGGTAGAATTATCACACCATCTCCTCCCCTACCTTAGATGGCAAAACCTTGGGTCGCTAGGCAACAGGGAATAAAACCAGGAATTTTTCTGATGCTGTACTGTTTTGGGCTTATATTTCTTTGAGCATATTAAAAAGTCAAATCTTCTCTGTAAAAACAAGATTTTTGTTGGCTTTTTAGCTTTTTTCTTAAGATCTTGTTTTTCTTTCTTCCTTAATGAGCTCTGAAGAGATTGTCACAGATCATTGGGAGAGTCATGTTGAGTGGCTCCAGCTCTGTGCAGGAATGTAAGAGAACATAGCCAACACAGCCAGAAGGGAAGGATTACAGCATGATGCATTTGCTGTGAAAAAACAAACAATTTCTGAATGTACTAAAAAAACTGGGTGGTTTGGGATATAGCCAGTCAGACTGCAAATGATTCACAGGCAGGGTTCTTCTAAGGAAAATAAGAGGATACCACTTCTTCAATGGAATTGTGCAACCTAAGGCTCCTCAGGATATAGGCAGTTCCTTTTAGAGCATGATACAGCCCCAGGTTGGAAATGTCTCAATGGTCACAGATTTCGTTTATTGTAGTTCTGCCCAGTCCTTTGTCCACTTTCTCATGTGGAGCCAACTCTGACAGAGAAAACACTCAGTGGGAAACCATAAAAGGCAAAGCTAATAAAGTCTTTTCAATAATGAGGACAATCAGTAGCAACCATATAGTTATTTAATGGATATCCACCACTTTGAGTCCATAAATCAAGTTTTAATTTGACGCACATTTAATAGATACTACTGATCAAACAGTTTGATTTAGACATTATTGGATGGAATTCAATGGTCACTTATGGAAGAACTGAGAAAAGACAGTCACAATGATCCCACTTTGACCTTGCCTTGCATGCTACTGCCTGTGAAGCAAAGCCATCTGAGGTCACTTCCACCTTCAAGTGGTTAAGACCTTGAGCATACAGGAGAACCCTCCTCCTTGAGGCATGCCGCTGTCCCAAGGTTTTGTTTCATCTTAAAGATTTGCTTATCATTACTTGTGGAACTCTGTATATTGTCATCAATTGACTACAGAAGATGAAAGGTTACTCTGCTTGTTTACTGTCGATATTTTTACTCTTTAATCCCCTTTCTCTTGAATTTAACAAGCAAAACCAACAAACAAGCAGGATAGATTTCTTCCCCCCGCCTTTTCCGTATCTCTTATGGGAAAACCCAGCCTTTCTCCCTGCACACAGATGACAAGGCCCCTTATTTTCAGGGCTTAGACAGACATGGTATTGCAGTGGGACCTACTGGGCTGGCGCAGAGGGCTCCCCTGGCTCTGTGCTGCTGCTGTACCACGGGCTGTGCAGGCTGCAGGCTGCAGGGACTGTGTGTTGATGTAACAAGGGTCGTCAAAGAGATCTGTTTTGTAGGCAGGTTTCAATACTGTTGCCTCTTTTTTTGTCTTCTGTGATCTTTCATCACAATTACCTGCAATTGGTATAAAGTATGCACAGATTTCCTTGGGTTTTCTTTTTTTTTAATCTCAAGTTTAAGTAACTGTAAAAGCTGAAATAGGAATGATATATTTCTTTATATCCCACTAAAGTAATTCAGAAGGAAAAGAAACATGGGCAGATGAACTTGTTTTTCCTTATGGCTAGAAGGCACAAGGTACACTATCCAGAATTAATTAGAATGAAGTTTTCTGCACTGATTCAGTTCTGCTTCAATCGATGTCAGCAGTGAACTCCACACTGATTGGAAAGAAATTAATATATATGACTCTACAGAGACACAAACCATATACGTTGTTTGTTGCAAAACCCTTTCCTTCCCCTCTGCACCACAAAAAGAGCTTGTGGGAAGCTGAACAATTCTCTCTCTTGCTATTCTGGTGGACCAGGAAAGATGGAGGGGTCTGGCACTTTGTGGCTCTGGAGAGCCAAAGCCACATCTGTCAGGTCAGGATTCAAGCCTAGGAACAGAATATCCCCTGCAGGGTATGAAAATAATAGCACTGCAGCTTGCCAAATAGCAGGCATATTTTTGCTCTTCAGCAAACGTTTTATTCATAGATCTATTCATTCATTCTTTTATTTGTTCACCCTCTCTTTGTAGAAACCATTTGATTCTCCCTCCCTTGAATCGGAAATAACACAAGAAAGTGAAGTATCCCCTGCAGACAGAGTAATGGATCACTTCAGAGCAGTGCAGGTGGGAATTCAAAAAGGACCTCATTGTGCAGGGAAAGAGATAAGCTGAGGAAATGTGCTCAGGGCGTCAGCTGTGCCCAGGGAAGACCAGAAAGAGATGGAGGCTGATGATCTCCTGGGGTCCCTGAGAGCAGGTTTTGCTAAAGGCAAATTGATCCTGGGCACAAAGCTGCCTAAGGCAGGGGAAGGGCACAGTCACACTGAGAAGTCAGTGATGCTGAAGCCAAGGGACCAGGCTCTGTTGGAACAACAATCTGATACTAATAATTTGGGTTTCACTGAGCATTTGTAGGGGGAAGGGGTATATTCAAAGACTGAAATGTAATGAAGTATCTTCCTTTTTCAAAGGGTATGAAAAAAGGGAATAAAACAACAAAGAGTATGAAAGAGAATTAAAAAAACAAAGAGCTACTGTACAGTATCATGAGAAGTAAAATAAGACTGCCAGCAGACATGAAGATAGATTAGTGGCCTTTAGAAAAGCTGTAAGGCTTTTTTGTCTGCCCTTCATCTACGGAACTAAAAATGACCCACTAAATAGAACACTTTTCACCATTGTATTGAAAGCCAAGGGACAGCTCTTTCAGGCAGCCTGCCTTGGTTAATTCTGCTTATACATGAGAAGGAAAAGAGAGTACATACCCACAGCTTTGTTTTCTTCTGGACAATTTTCATATATATTGATGAATGTTGGGCTGCCTGTCTGTAGAAAAATTGTAAAAACAGTCACATAAAGCAGTCCCTTAGAAAACTCAGGCAACTTTAAAACATTCAAGCACTAGTTAGTTAACATACTGGTAACTAAACATATCTTCTTCACCAAAAAATTCCCATCTCCTCAAATAATATTTCATGCTGATACTTTTCTTCCTGCAGGGTGTCATGTCTGGACTCCAACCTCACAGAGACCATTAACTGCCCAGTTATGTATCCAAGGTTTAGTATACACAGTATAACTCCTAGGTAAGAAAGTTCAGATTTCCTTATAAATGTCCCTTGTGATAAAAACAAGGAGAAATAACTACAGGTATCACAGTTTGAAAGTGAAATGGTCACCAAGTTGTCTTGGAATGGGAACTGAAGGGAAAAACACAAGGTAATGCTGCATGGTAAACAGGCATTTGCATTTACATGCCACAGGGTAACTCCTTGGAACAACTGGCAAGCTTCAGGTGCAAACTCAGAATACAGTAAAACACTTTTAGAATTAGAGAACTGGGGAGGTGGAGACCACCAGGCCCACAGCCGAGATGTAGAGTATGGTTGGTGTTCAAGCAAAAAATGGAGGGAGCAGTAGCACAGCAACACAGAGCAGCCTGGGAGCAGTGGCCACCAAATACAAGTAACACTTGGGAGCAGCAAATTTTTAGACAGAACCAACTGGATTCCAGCAGGCACATGAGTGTGCTCCCTCTGAACAAAGCAGTGGTGCCTGTTTTCCTGAATGGGGAAAGGATGGTGTTCCCAGGGATTCGCTCAGCAGGCTGTAAAGTCTGTGCAGCCAGTCTGAACTTGGCTCTTTTTTACTCCCTGATTGGTTTTTATTCCCCACTATCCCAGACAAGAGCCACAGATATCTGCATCTTTTGTGGCTGATTTAGCAGAGCCTCTTGAAACACTCCAAGAGTAATGAATGTTGTGTATGTATTGCAATCAGTTGATGTCATATGTATAAGTTGTAGAGCATAATGGAAAGGATGAAATATTTATCAGATCACAGAATCAGGAGCCAGGAGGTCCAAGATTTTGCAGATGTTCTCTCAGACAAGCTATTTAAATCGGTATCTATTTTCTTCTTACAGCTAACAAGTGAACAAGGGAATATTACTTGGTCTCCTAAAAGTACTCTAAGGACAAACCAGTTAATATTCAGAAAGTGCTTTGGGATTCAATTATGTACTAAGCATCATTAAATCTAGCCTAAAAAACCTTTTCCCAGGATAATCAGGACCTGGTTCTGATGTTAATGCCATGCTTTAACACCACAGTAATGAATAATAATTTTATTATTCATTCCCATAATAGGCAACGAATATTTATCCCAGAAGATGATGTACTTACTGAGCAATACTGCTTTTTGTACTGGATAGGACACTTAGCCCTTTGGTCTGTTTGCACTTTCATTCTCATGTCTAACACTCCACCGGTGGGAGGCTCCTTCCCTGGAATTTCGTTGTAATATTCATGATCCTGCCTCTCCTGTGAATTCCCAGCTGATCCATTAGTATTTGCTGCCTCACTGAAAAAAAAAAAAGGGGGGGGGGAAAACTACTGATGTAATCAATTGCTTTCTAGTGTAGGCAAATGTCCCCAGTGTCTGCACATTGCACAATACACAGATCAGCCATATGGAGGCTGTAAAGGGCTTTGGGCCTGAACTTTCAGAGCTGTTTATTTTTCCAGTTACTTCTTCCTGAATTGAAAATTGAGTCATCTCAGTTTGGGGTAAAGGGAGGTACCATTATTTCCTTAGCACTGGGAAGCCCAGATACCTTTTTGACTTGAAAATGTAAGAGGTACCTACTGAAGCTTTTAGAGAAGAGTGTCAATATATTGTTCATTAAGGTATTCAAAATTCTGTCCATTAAACTAATTCCTCTGGCTTATAGGCTGAACTGTATAAATCTAAGAGATTGCTGGGGGGCAGACAGACTTACAAGAGGAAATTAAAACCTCATGGCATTTAGTCAGACAAGCCTATCAAATACTGCTACCAAAAAAAAAAAAAGTTGTTTTCCTGAGTGGAATGTACTCTGAATTTAACAACCATAATCAATATAAGTGTTCTGTCTCAGCTTGAAGAAAACACTGAGTGACATGAAGGAGAGTGCCCAATGTTTTTCTTGAGCTAAACCAGAACGATGACAGTTTAAATGCACAGCTGATACACTGCAAAGCAACTAGGTGCTTCCTGTACTGTCTCCGGTCCCAAAATAAAAAAACTCATCTCAAATCTTACTTTTCTGATTAACAAGAGTATAATTGGATAAAAGGCCTCGAGCAGGAAAGAGAGAAAGTTCAAGTAGTTGATTATGTGATATGTAGTGCAAGTATTTGATTATGTGATTCATAGTAGTTTGGAAGGGAGTGACTCATTCACACAGCAATATCCGACTTCTCTGCCCGAGGGCTGGCTGCAGGTTATGCTCCAGGAGGAAATCTAATTAGCCTCTGCCATTTCTCCTTGCTCCTATGATACTTGTGGCATAACCTAGCAGAGTTTCCTAGGAAAGGCTTTTCTGCTGGTTGCTGGCCCCAGGGAAAACAGACCAGTATTAGCAGTGGAATGGCAAGAACCACTATATACAGTGAAATAAATATAAGCTGGAGTTGCTCTTATGTAATAAAACCAGCTCTGCTGTGTTGCATGAGGCACTGTACCAGGGACACTGCCTGCACAGGGCTCCAGTGCTCAGGATGCAGTTAAATGGTGCTACAGCTTTGCCTGCTCACAGGAGGTAGCAGACAATCAAATTTGGTGTTACAGTAAAAGGCGCCTGAGAAAAATAGGCATGGCTAACCTGTGAGGAGAGCCATAAATTAGAGCAAGAATTGTGTCCCCAGTGCAATGGAAAAAGGGTAATTGAAATGGTGAATTGTGGTCCAGAAATTAATCTAGGCCCTGTATTTTGGGCAATGTGCAGAGGACAGGGCTCCACACTTCCAAATGCCAACTGCTGGCTGTGTTTATTTCAGTACATGAGGCTGATGTAAGTCATGCCAGGTGAAACCTGAGGCTGCTGCCAGGACATAAGCAGAATAGCAGAAAGGTGAATTAAAATGGCTTTTTTCCCCACCCCATACTTTCTACAGCTGCAGGAGACTTAAACTTGGCACAGGTCTGGACTGAGCTCAGCCTGTGTGTGTGTGTGTGCGCGCTATTTATAGAGCTGAACTTACTTGGGCAGAGTAATTTGAACATTTGTTCAACTTGCATGACTTAAGACAAGGCTGTTTTATCTAAGGAACAGTACAGCTACATTCTGTGTTTTGCACCTATACAGATGTCACAGAAACCAATGGATTTAATGGAATAAGCTAATTTTAATCTATTATACTCTGCACATACAGACATATATTACAATTAGCATATGTCCAGAAAGCATATCCAAAGCATCTTACTTATGAACCACTCTGTGTAATGTATTATTTTCCTGAAAAGTACTAAAGAGAAGGAAAACACCAGTTAAGTGACTGAGAATGTGCTGACCTTTCATTAGGTGTAACCAGGCTGGATGGGTTCTTCAGGTACTGTCTGAAGCGGAGCCCAAAAGCCTGCCCTATGGTGTTTATCACCTCCTGTGCCATCCCATTGGGACATTCCAGAATGTGGCATGCTGCAAAGAGACACCTTACTTTAATTACTTTAATTACTTTAAATGCAATTTATAACAGAAAATTCTTAAGCTATATTGCTTATCGCAATAAGAATGGGCATGAAAATATGCACGTATATAGCTTTAGGACATTATACAGACTGAGACTGTTCACATGCTAAGGAAATTGCTCTAGATACATTAATCATAGTATCATCTTTTTTTTTTTTATACCTCAATAAAAGAAACTCTCCATTTATGCTTCCTGCATCTTCTTTTCTCCCTGTGCCTTGCAGTAAGGAGCAGCAGGGGAGAGAACCAGCCCTACCAATGTGCAGTTTTCATGTGAAACACCATGAAAGCACAAGTATGGGCAGCTCTGGCAGCCTGGGGCTGAGGGCTGGCAGACCAGACTGTAAGGCTCCAGCCCAACCTCTCCAGAAAACATCCTGATCTTATGAGCCACCCACAGCACCTTTCTGTGAGTCGCCACTACCAGCTTCAGAGCCATCAGACAGAGAACTGTCTGGCATGAAAGAAGCAGCCAAATTCCAGTCTTTCTTGTACTGCCCACAAACAATAAGTGATGGAAAGGGATTTTATCCCCTGGGTTGGCCTCCAGAGGGCAGAAGGTCTCGTACACCTGAGTATATATATAAATATACACCCCTCTGCCTTCTAGCAACATAGCCAGAAGTCTGGGTTAGATGAGGAGGCTCATTCACTACCCTTCCCTCACCTGGAAGTTGTCTCAGAGCAGGGAAAACTCCTACCCCTGCATGGAGCCAGCAGCTGGTACAGCTTTAGCCTGACCTGTAGATTCTCACTTTGTTGCACAAAGAACATGACATTTAAAGCTACAGCCTACATACCATTAGCCCTGTCCATACAGACAGAAATTGTACAGAATATTGAGCTGTTCAGTAGCTTTCTTGTTTTAACAGTCAAACAATTTCTTGTTACATACAAATAAAGCAATTGTATAAACACATATAACAATTTGATAATTGTTTCAATACCTCTCTGATTAACAGGATCTTTTGCTACATATGCAACATAGTCTGTTGTATCCTATAGGAAAAAAGACAACAAATGCATTGAAAATTATCATGATGAACCACTCTACCACCATAGCAAAGCAATTGAGTATAGACAGACATATTTTTAGCTTTAAAATGTGTGCTTCCTTCAGGGAAAAACCGCCAGAGGTGCTGGCAGAGTGAGCTAAGGCAAACATCAGTGACACTCTAGTGGCTGTGGACACAACAATTGTCCCATGATCTTTTCCTTCTAAAAAACACACCAGACCATTTGGCATTCTTTGGGTCTTCAATAAACTGTGTATTCAATTCCAGCTCTGCAAGCAGAGTAGAAACACAACTGGTGCCTCATCAGCAGGCAGTGCTGCTCTCTCCCACTGCTCCCTCAGAGTAACTCATCAGCTTTTGGCTGGGACAGTCCTTATCAATATCACTGGAAGGTATAAAGCAGTGCTAATATACTGTAAATGACAGTGCTAATATACTGTAATGTTTCCAATTTGTAGCATGAAGGTTGAGTTTTGAAGGAGTCTTAGAGAAAAGTTAAACTTTAAAATGCTGCAGAATAAAATAGGTATCTGATCTCAATTGCTGCTGCCCGAATTTAATCTGGCTACAATCAGGTTAAATTACTCTGGATCTCAAAGCTGCTGCTGAAATCAGACAACCACAGTATAATCAGTTGTCTGTTTCTGATTCTCCTTCCAGCCAGCACTGAAATAATCCTCTTTTTCTAAGCAAACTGAAAAGGGAACTGGAATAGAAAAATCAACATTTCTAGTCATACCACAAAAGCAAAGAGTGGCCTGATAATTCAGTGTTATAGTAAAATTGGTGAGGTAATGAATAACATTCTTTTAATTATTAAACATGCATTTTGTTATTTTGGATCTTTAAGGCGGGATGGGGAAAATGCAATTCACAGCTTAAAGGCATAGCTCTCTTGAGGGAAGATGCAATCAGCTGGCAGGAAACAAGGCCCCATTTGCAATATGCACAAGAACAATCATTTAATAATTCACAATGAATGACACAAGAGGCAGGTCTTGGGGCCAGCAGAACTTGTCCTAGATTATTCTTTTTAAATCTCCAAAGTTAATGTCATTAAAACAAAGCAAGCTAAATATTTCTTATGCATCTAGTGAACTCAATTTCCTTCCTTTTCCTCTCAAGTTTTTTCTTAAAGATCATAAATATTTTAAAATAAATTAGATCTAGAGAGCAACTAGAAACTAACATAACTGGAGCAGTACCTGCTATTTATATGTCTTTGTAGTGTTTATGCACATGGCTGGATGACTTTGCTTTAAAATAAAGCCAGAATAGGCTTAATTTTCAGGCAGAATAGTGTTACTCCCTAACTGCACAGAGCAACACTGAACTGTGCTTGGACCCTGAGTGCAGGGGCAGGTGGATAGACATGTCCTGGGAAAACTGTCTCCCATTTTAAATGTAAAGGGAATTTTGAAAAAATTACCTGAACAAGACACCAAAATTTCCCATTATGTGAAGGGCCACTAGATTTATAGTTACCACTGCTGAGCAAGACCTCTATTTTATATATCCTTCCATTAAGAAGTGTCACCAGCTGCACCACCAAGCCCATTTCCTGCAGCACATCTGTGTGCAAGCACATCTCTTGGTGGCCCTGCCATTAAGTACTTACCAAACCCAGCCCTGTGTAGCCTGTGGCATCTGATGGGATCACTGTACAAGCCCAATGCAGGATCATAATATAAAAAAGACTAAAAAAGGGAAAAAAGCCCTGGAGAATTACTCATCCAACCTGCTTAGCTGAGGTCTGAAAACACATACCTGAATTTTTCAAACTGGAAATGTTACATAAAGACAAACCAGACAACCAGCATATGGGACATGGTAAAAACTTCAAAAGTAAGTCACCTTAAGGACATATTTAAATTGCTTAACTATTTGGACATTAATATGGTGATGCTCAGTACAACAGCATGCCAGCACTTGGAGCTACTTGGAACTCCATATCAGGAAGGGTCTGCAAAGTCCAAGGACTCTATAGTGCAGCGTGGTGTATTAGGATAGCACAGGCATCTCAAGGTGAAATTTGAACTTCTTAGACTCTCAAAATGCCTTAAGCTTTAAATGGGATCTTTAAGGATGTAGTACTTTGGCACCAGGCCAGTGCTGCATCTCCCTTCTGGGTGCAGGACTGACAGCACAGAGACTGCAGACATTCTTCCTCCACACTTTCCAAAGAAGGGCTGTCAGCCACACAGCACCAGTTCCCAGCTCTTTTCTCCTGACTGCTCCTAAATCCAAAGAGGCAGATCTGTCATTTTCCAGTCAAAGTTGGATCTGGCTTCCATCACAATGTTATCAAGAGCAAGACCCAAAGAGCCTTCACTTTTCCCTGTTTCATAACACAAGAACAGGGAGACATTTAACAAAATTGAAGGGCAGAAAATTCAAAACTGATTTAAAAAGTACTGGTTTCATGCCACATGGAGGGTAAAATTTGGAACACTGGCAGGGCTGGATTTGTTTACAGATGACATTTCCTGCCTACAATCATTGCAGTAAAGAGTTTGGAAGAGGATGGAAAACCTCTTGCCTGAAAACATTAATGACTACATAACTATGATGCCAGGAGGAACAGCCCTATCTGAAGGAAGAAGGTGGTTATGCCACATCTGTCTCATAGGAGTTGTTTGACTCAAAATTCATCTGGAAGTATAGAGGTGCCAGTGCTGACCACTTTTGTGACAGGTATTGGATTACAGGGACCACAGTACTGATCAATTCCTAGGTTAATGTTCTTATTTTTAGATCACCAAGTCAGAGCTCTTTTTCAGTCCCAGTTCCTCAGTTTTCTTGTATTGCTGGTCACGATCCAGAAGTGTGGTGTACTCTGTTAGTGTTTGTGGTAGGAAGGGATGAAGCAAATTATTTGCAGTTACTTTTATTCTCATAATAATTTCATTATACCTGCAGAAGTGTATCCTATGAATCAATACTTACTGGGTCACCTCCAGAAGCAAATGAGATGGACTGCATATGATGGTTGGCAATAATCTGAAAAGCATAACAAACTAGTTAAACATGATCACAGGCCACACCTTAGGAAACAGCAGAGCATATATCTTCCTAGAGCAAGCAATTAAGTTCATGACAACTCAGTCCATTAATACATGAAGAGAAGGAAGGAGATAAAAATAGGAATAATTTTGAGACTACTCATTCATGTTTAGTAATGTCTAGCTCCCTGAGTAATCTTCCTTAAAGAGTTTTCAGAATTAATTCAATCACCAACTTCTAACCTAGTCAGGATGAAGCTGAATGAAACTTTGAAGGGGGAGTAACTGCAGACACTTGCAAAGCCTTGGGATATTAATTAATTTTAAAATTACCAATAATTTTATTTAAATGTTTGATGTATATAATGGTGGTGTTTTTACAAAGAAGCCCATTAATAGTCTGATCATATTCTCTCTCACCATTAGCACCAAACTGTTACCTGGCAGAAATTTCACAAGCTAGATCAAGCATCAATTCTTCTTGGTTTCAAACACTACCTCATCTCTGGAGACAAACTGTTTTTTAATATAAAATCAAGTGCAATAAATTATTCAGGTGTGAACACAATGAAATATGCTAGGTAGCAGCAAAAGATTAGAATAAGAATAAACAGGATTTTCCATTTGAAAAGGTCTAGTAACTATTTCAAGACAGTGCCCTGCATGTCTGTGTGTGCAATGACCAGCACATCAGTGTATTTGGAAAGAGATCTGTCCACCTGGCTTTTAGTCCTGGTACAAACAGGAACAGGTTAAAAGGGCCACGTTTTAGCTGCCAAACCCCAAAGCTTCACCTGCTGTAGGGAAGCTCTTTCCTGCTGTACCCAAAAGGAAACCTTGTGCCATGAACCCTAATCCCTCCGAGCACGGATGTCCAATGGACAGGAGACCTCTGTGGTACAGACAAACCCCCAAGAGCTGCCTGATGCTCACTGTGGCATCAGCTCAGTGCAGGGCAGAGCCAATGAGCCAAAACTACCTCTCTGATGTTCCCCTGCTCCAGCTTGGAGCAAAAGCTGCTGCTGGCCCAAGGCGAGATCATTCTGGGAGCTGAAGCCAACAGGAATTAGGTGGGCAGGACAAAGTTCCTCATCACATTTGCCAAGAAGGAAGTGAGCACACCCCAGTTCCAGGCTCTTAGGAACACACCTCGATGAAGCCTAGAGACTTTACATAGTGTAATTGATTGTACATATATATTACCCAGCTGTAAAATAGCTTTGAATGACACCAAAGCCAAGCTCTCACTTAATATTTATATCCTTTTTTTTTTCCCCTTAAGACTAGTCAGAAAGTCCAGTCAGAACTAGTGCCTTATTTGTCAGGCACTGAGGCACTGTGCAGGCAGACACACACACACAAACAGTTTGCCAAGTGCTTAAGGATCCCCCCATGGAACAGACCACCATAAACAAAAAGGGCATGTGCTGCATGTCCAATTCCCCTAAAGTGCTTTCATTTTTAAATTCAGAGGCATCATGTAATTCAGCTTCACTAGGCGTGCACAAGTCTGCTAAAGGGTGCTGCTTTCCCTTTGAAGGGCCCAGCCTTTCCTTCAGAAGCCACTGAGGAGGAGAAAACAGTAGCATGGATAAAAGGACACTGATTACATGTATCCTACCTGCTGAGTGTCAACATTAATCAAAGTGAGGCTGCTTGTTGAAATGGTCAGCTTTATATTCACACCAGAAAACTGAAGGTTACTTTTGCCAAGTACAGAAGACAGAAACTTCACTGGAGGCTGTGAACAAAGAAACAAAAGAAAGAAGCTCTCAGGCGAGTCTGTCAGGGGCAGAAACATATCGAAGTCAAGCAGCTTTTACAGTATCTTATTGAGATTTTCAATGGAGCAGGGATAATGGCTTGATCAAATGCAAATGGATCTTCTAACAAACATCAGCTCTGAATACAGTACTGGTAGGCATGGTTTTTATGTCAATAATGGGAGAAAAAGTTTTAAAGTAAAATCCCAGTGAGCTAAATGTTATAGCTGGCTCAGTAATTCAGAATGTGTAATTTTCTTTCGGAACTCTTTGTTTCCTGAGAATGAAGTGCTTCTGTGTAAAAGAAGAAATTCTCCCCTGTATTCATTTTTCAGGAGTAAGTTCATTCCTCCCAAGCTCCACAGTTACAGAAGGAAATCAATAAGTTCCTCTGGACAAGACCCAACAGTAACCACTGAAGTTGCCCCTCATTGAATCCCAGTTACTTAATAAAACCCATTAAACACTGCCATTTTAGTTGTGTTTAATTTTTTATATATATAAATAAGAAGCAGGTGATCCTCCAGTGAATCAGCTCCCTTTTGCAATCCAAAAAACCACCCAGTTCCAGTAATTTGCCAGCCAAAACCTAAAACCTGTAAAGCACCAAGCACTGCAAGGGCTGGTAGAAGCAGGAACTCTGGCAAAGCATTAATCCTGAAGAAAATAAAGTAGGGCATGGCCTAAGCCCCAAACCAAGCAGGCTAAACACCCTGCTACCAGCACTTTCATGTTATATATAGTGAGTTCAGAGGGATGAATATGTGCTGAATCCAGTGTGGACTGAAGCCTGTTTGGGAATCATGTATCCAGCTTACCAAAAACAGATATAGAAAATTAATTGTTCAGCTAAAATTGTATTTACCTTCCGCTTTTTTATAGCTCCATTTGTACCTGATACCGCTTCACACAGTCGGCTTATTGCTTCCCTGCAAATAAAAAAACACAGCACAAGCTGTTGGATCATTTCACATTCAGCATCTGAAACAGAGCCAGCAACGCTGCAATTAATTGTTATCAGCCACTTCTAAATGCTTAAATCTTCTGGAAGGTCTTTCACAGTTGTTTTTCTTTTTTCTTTCCTCCCACTGTTAAAAAAACCCCACAACTATTTAACAAAATACAATGATTCAACAGCCTGGCTTAGGCTGATTCTTTTTCTTCAACAAACACATCAGATTCACCTAAGGAAAGTTTGTTTAAAAAACCCCCAAACATAATTAACCACAAGATGCTCAAACATCCTCATGCCTTCAAATCCTCTTTCTCAGTATGGTGGATAGGTCACTTGCTTGGCAGGAGGGGCTCCTCCCTGCTTAATCCTTTCTCTTTAGTGCAGCAGGTGCATGCTGAGGGAGCCCAGCTGGAGGCCCTGATTGCCTTTCTGGGACTTGGGGTTTCTTGCAAAAAAACAAACAAACAAACAAACAAAACACCAGGAAAAAAGTGTGGAGGCGTGAGTGGGGAGGTGTAATCAACTCCTCCAGTTCTTTTTCGGAGCTGAGGTCTCAGTTCATGTATTTCCATCTGTGTCAGGAGTTTCCCAAAGTAGACATTCTTTCTAGCCACCCATTATCCTCTACAGGTGCCTCTCAGTTAGGGCAGCAGAAAGGTAAGGCATAAAACACTTGCAGTGTTCACTGGTCTATATTTAAGGCAGCTAAATCACACACAGTATAGCAGAGTGGCATGCTGTGCCTATTTTCCACACTTGAACAAAGCAAATTCTGGTCTATGCTCAGGCAGGTGACTGGTTTGGACATGCAGTAGAGCACTGACTGCCCTGACTGAGGTCAGCACAGCAGCTGGAAAAAATGTTTTGCTGGCAGTGACAGGCTTTTCCTGACTGATACTTATTGCTCTGGAGTCAACAGAAAAATGGTGCCCCCTTCCTGGGCTGGAATGTGCTTGGCAAGTTTTCTTAACTTTGCCTGAACATCCTGGTCTGAGCCACAGCCCCTGACCTCTCCAGCTGTCCTGAGCCACAGGGCCTGTCACCCTCTTGGGCTTCGGGTCCCACATCAGGCAATTCCATTTTGAGGCTGTAGCCTCAGCCTTCCTCTCTTGGCTGAATTCAGAGCTGGGCTTCCAAGGGTTGGGATTTGGTTTTGTTCTTAAGAGGAAGGGAATCAGTTTGTTTAATTATTTGTTTATGTTACTGGATTATTATCCAAAGAGCTTCTTAGGAAACGAGCTAGTCAGGAAAGTTTGTGTTTTCAGATCCTGGCGCGCGTGTGGGAGGAAAATGCCACTGGGCTTCATTTCCTGAGAAAGTTTTGGTTCAGAAGGGCTAAAAAATATCAGGAGACCACACAATGGCAAGAGGCTCCAGCCATCCCACGAAGCAGAGGTGCCCCAGTGAGGAGTGTGGTCCCCCCAGGACCCTGCTTTGTGCCCGGGGAGCAGATCAGAGAGGAAGCAAAGCCAGCACAGCGCTGGTGAAGCCCAGCATTGCTGCTGCTCCTGCTCATCACCCCCGAGCTGCTACATCAGTGGCCTATGTGGTTAAAGCCCTGAGGATCAGTGGTGTACCTTGAGTCTTCTTGTCAGAGAACATCCTGGGAAATCCAACCTGGAGACTGTCAAATGAATGGAAACCTCACCCATGGCAAAATTATAAGAATATGATTAATATGTTTTGAGCGAAAACAGCAGGGAAGAAGAGGGGCCTCATTGAGGGCTACACAAGATGGGTCAGAAACCCAGCCTTTTAAACATTGCCTATTTTTAGCATTTTAAAGCAAATACTTCCCCCTACACAGTTGAAAATATGTTTTTGAAGTCAATTCCTGGTATCCTTCTTGTTTAACTCCTGTTTTATATAGCTGTTACCAGTAGAAAGGCCAAAAATAAAAAAAGATTAAAAAATAAAAGGCAAAGGCATCGTGCAGGATGATCTTGCAGATTCCAATAATCAGCTTGGAAAATGAGAACTCATCTTCTCATTCAATATTAAAGGAAATTAAAATCAGAGCCAAGACATTAAGGCTACTTGGAGTCTTCAAGTCTAGCCCTACCTAGAAAGAAAACCAGATACAAAACAAATTGGAAAAACAGGGAAGTCATCTCTTTTGGTGACAAATGAGTTCTCACATATGCAAGGCAGCCCATGTGGATTAAGGAGTTGTAGGCAAAGTTGCCAGCCATGGAGCCCCTTCTTGTACAAGCCAGTGTGGTGGCTGCCCAATTAACCACTCTCTGAAGCACCTGTCCAGCTAAAAGGAACTAAAAAATAGGCAAACCATTTCTACTTAATAGTTGCTATTACAACCCTTGGGTAGGAGAAGTTATCTTCTCACAGACGTTTCTTGCTGCATACCTCTGGGTGGTTTTCCAAGTGATCTAACAAAATTTTACATTACTTTAAAGGTGTGAAATGCGGCAGCTTGGTAACACCTGCTGCTGTGACTGAACACTTCCTACCTGCAGTCATTTCCATGAACTAGAAACTGCACCGCACATTAGGAAGAAAAGAAACTCTGGATAAATCCATAATAAATTGAAATGGGATTTACTGTATCTGTGCTTTCTTCCGGGAAATCTGCTATTAATTCATTCTTACAGCCATTTATTTTCAAATAGTTGCTTGGGCAAGTCTCTGCTTTTAATCTGCTGGATGGTACACTCGTGCACAGCTCACATAGCTGATCTTCCTGGGTGGATGTGCAACTTATGGATACTGGCATTTGCTTGCCCGTTCGATATCTCCCAAATCTGTGGCAGTACCAGAAAATGTGGCCTTGTTATTGCAGTCATATTGCTACTGTTTCTTTTGTTCCTTCTTGTCATTCATCCCAACACAAAACACTTTGGGTTGTTTTTTTTGTTTTTCTTTTAAATCACCCTGAATGAGGTAACTCCAATTCTGTACTCTGCAGCAGCTCTTCTCCACCCTGGGAGCAACAGAATGGAATCGGGAGAGCTGTGAGGATTTTAAATTGTTCTTGCAGTTTAAGGCAAAGAAAATCTCGCCCTTCAACTCTTCAGGCATCTTCTGCCATTTGAAGTAGATTCACTGTCTGCCAGTCCTGCAGTGCCCATACAATTACATAAACTGGTCGTTGTTTCATTGACACAGTTTTCCCCTTTCCATAGTGAGTGGAAGAGATCTGAGTCAGATCTTTTCACCATCTTGAAAAATATTACTCTGAAGTACTTTGGTCCCCTGGGCTGTCACCACCAGCAACCCTACCACAGAGGCAGTGCTCCTGCTCCTGGCCCCAGCACGTGCTCCACTATCACAGGGGGAATTTCTGCTGGGCACCAGTTCACTGAGGATCAAGGCTGGCACAGGTCTCTGGGGGCAGGGATCCAGGAGGTGGGGTGGGGAAGCACGATCAATCCTCTTCAACTGGGACACTGAGACTCCTGAGCAGGCAGCTGCAGGTAGCTCCCCACCCTCTGGGCTGAGATGTGCTGAACCGGGGCAGTGCCGCAGTCCCACGCCATTGAATGCTGCAGGAGCCGCTGGCACAGGGAATTTTTGCTTTCTCCAAAAAAAAATCTGGTGCAGCCTCCCACCCCTCAGGGCACTGCTCCCTCTGCCCACTGAGTTAGCAGCAGCCAACCCCCAGGGCTGGAGCCACTCGACAAGGGCTCAGCAAGCACTGGGGCAGGAGGGTGTGATAGGGTGGCCTCATTTTTGGCATCCATAAGCCTTTAGACCAGTTCAGCAGTACAGTCTATGGGTTTTCTCTGGGTCTGCAGACCTGGAGTGAAACCTGTGGCAGATGCACCTCTGCTCCTCCCAGAACGTGCCCGTGCAGTAGAGGCCTGTGGGCAGTAACACTGAGGCACTTTGTTTATTGTTTCCCCAAAATGAGAGTAAAAGATGAGAGATGGGCTGATGTAAGCAAGCAAGCATGCTGTTGAGGATTTGCTTTTAAGCAGCTAGGGCTCTGCCTACACTATGTAACAGAAAGGGATTGTGTGGCTCAACAAAGTTGAAATTAATCCTCCAAACAAAGTCAGCCTTCTTCCAACAGCCCTCCCCAGAAGCACGTTTCTGAGGCCCTTCACCCCTCGCTGCCTAACCATTTTCAAGTTTGCAAGTTAATGCCCTGATCCAAGATACAGAATCCCTTTTCCCATAAATGCCCAAATACAATGACTAATAATCAGTTTGATTTAACAGAAGTGGGCAATGTGTAAAAAGCTGAAGGGGTGGACAAGGGAAGCACATGTCAGGATCCAGCAAAGGCAGGATCTGCCACAGCACAAGGGTGACAACTCAAACAATCTGGGATCCAGAACAGCAAACACAGCGCATTTATGTGTAACCATTCAAAAAAAAAATACAAATCCCCTTAAGCAGAAGAATCTGTAACACTTATTTCTTGGTGTTACTTCTGTCATCTATATGGAGTTTGGGATCAAAAATTTCCACAAAACGGGAGGGATGTCCTAAGAGCATGTAAGTCTGGTCACAGGCAGGCAACAGCAGAGCTGGAAAACTGCTGCAGTGAAATCTGCTCTGCCAACCTCCTCACCACACGGCCACCGAGGGCAAAAAGCACCTCAGTGCCTGGCCCCGCCCTTGCTATCCTGTGGTCATTTGGCCCCTCAGCACTGCATCCCATGGTCATTCATAGCTGGAGAGGCCACTTTCTGCCTTCCCTAACCACGTGCCTGGTAAGTGACTGAAAACGCAAGTCCAGCAAGAAACTAGAAAATAAATCCTTCCTGCTCATCTCTTTGAACTCCTCACAGCACTTTGGCAAACATGAATTTGTTGATCTTTCCAACATTCACATGAGGGAGGTAAATAACAACTTCAGTTTTAGAAACCATGAGGCTAACTAAGCATGCACACACACATAAAGCAAGGCAGGGCACAGACATAATTAAAGACCCTTTCTGACAGAAGAAGCCACTTTACTTAGTGAAATGTCATCAAAGTAAAAATATTTTTTAGCCCAGTACAAATAACAGAGATGATTAAAATGGGATCATTTCCAACAGCTCCTTGGTTGGTGCGTTGTGCATGTGTCTATGAACTTACTCCCCTGGGAGAACAATAGGGGAATAATCAATGTTATCTTTGCTCCAGTCAGCTTGTAATCGATCGAACTTTAAAGTTTGCATGCATGAGCTCAGCACTTCAGCATCTGGTTTGCAAACAGTTTAAGTTTTGAATTTCTCATGCACAAAAGAGCCCGTTAAGGTCAGCAGTGGCATTTTTTTTAGGTGATGGAAATATTTCCATTGTTAAGTTTTGACATAGTTCTGCTTAACAAAACCTTACTATCCAGCCCAAATTTAAGTTGCCAAGCTCTTGTCACGCAGTAATTCATATCCATTATTTTCCAGTCAAACCATCCAAAGCTCTGTTCTGTCAATGTAGCAGACACTGTGTCTTACAAATGGGAGATAACCTCGCTCTTTGGCTGAGCTGTGAAGAACACAGTGGCCCGGGCTGATTGCTTTGGGTTCAGTGCATTACATGGCTCCTTTTGATCAGTAAATGACAGGGCTGAGGGAAGTGTATTTGTATCTCAGGCAGTTCTTCATACACACATGCAGGAACTGGGTGAGTGCGTGCTTATACTGATTGTAAATGTCAACAACTGCTGATTCTGCATATCAAACAAATGGGGCAGCTTTCAAGTGTGGTATATAGGCACTGAAGGACTCAAGTTCTTCAGTTGATAAGTCTAGGAGCCAACAGGTAGAAATAGAACAATTATCTCTTAATGTTCCTTTCCTTTCTCCATTACTTCTTTGATACAAACACTTGAGGAAGCAAAAGAGCATCTGAAAATCATCCGCCAGCAGGAAGGGAGAGTTGGGCAGGTGCAGGAAACCTCAGCCACACTCCTGGCATCCTCAGCATGAACCATGTCAGAAAAGTAGCTTAGTGGATGAAGGAACATATCTAAGGCCGGGCCAAAATGCCCTGCACGCACCCACCTCCCCAGAAAGCCTTTGGAGGTGCTGAGCTGCTGGGGCTGCATGGGAGAGCACTAGTCCTGACTGCTGGACCGTGAGTTCGTCCCGGCATCACGAAGCACTCAGAGCTGGAAAGGGGGTGATTGTTTGGAAAACTCAAACACTCCCGCACTGCCAGACTTACAAGTATAAATGTAAAAATAAAACTGGGCTTTTCTGTTCCTGGCAGGACATTTCAGCTACCCCACAGGTGCATATATTAATAATCTACACCCAGCAAATAGCAGCAATCTGCAAGAGAGGTTGCAAACTTTCTGAAAGACCACAAAATATTTAATGTTTAAACCACATTCAGTTGTATCTGAGAGTGAATCTTTTTCTGATTTGCAGCCTGGAAACTTAGGCTTGCAGTACAGATGGAAACAGCTGTATTTCAACATGTTTTCCTGGTGAGTCCACTTCCAGCTGAGCCTGGTCTTGGTGCAGATGAGGTCAAGCAATGTCATACGTCTGACAAAAATTCATCAGATGACCTTGCTGGATTGAGGGAGTGATGACACTTTGTGTCAGGTGTGAAGCAGCGTGGAAGGGAGACCTGTGACCGTCCTGGTTACCACCTTGGCTATGGCACCCACAGCCATGGGAGCACCAGGGGATTTCCCCTGTGCCCCAGGACGGCCTGCAGGCAGCGCTGATCCCGCATGCACAGTCCGGCTGCTGCCGGTACCCGACTAGCTAGGGATGTCTGCACTGAGCTGTAACTGCAGGGGGAGGCTCTCTGAACAAGAACTGGGAGAGAAATGAGCTCTGTGCCTGAAACAATTCATTTTCCAATGCAAACAGCCTATTGTAATGATCAAATAATTAAAATCATCACTCAGGAAAAAAAAACAAAACAAAACACGCAAACTCCTATTCAAAATTGTCTCAGAGCTTGGCAAGCACCCTCAGCTTTATACAGAAATTAGCACTTGGGCTTTTCATTCTCGGTCTGAATCTCAGTTTTATACCACCTACCTGGTGACTTGTGTCCGTGTGCCAAAGTCCAGGGATCTCATTGACTGCAGCACTTCAATACAGCCCATGTACTATGGAAAACAGAGAGACAGAGAAAAGAGAGGACTATGTTAACATCTGCTACACAAGTAAGAGGAGGATCACAGGAGGAAGTAAATGTGGCTACCATCCACTAAGTCTATGCAGAACTACAGTCTAAATGGAAAATCAAATCAGCCATCCTAAAGCTGCTTCCTAAATAGATCTTGTTTTACTAAAAAATGTAGAGAAGAGCAATAAAGATACCAATGGCTTCAACACCATAGCACCAAAAAAAAGAGTAAAACACTCTGGGGAAACAAAATACAATTATTCCTTTTTTCCAATTCTGCCTACTCTCAGTTATTGGCCTGTGACACTGAGCTAGCTGGGAGGAATACATGAGGAAACACTGGAGACAACAGAGCCTCCAGGAGCAGACAGGCTCTGAAAGGCCCACGAGACCAATGTACTCAGAGCCCCCATGCAGAAGAGCTGAGTGTCCCTTCAGAGCAGTAGGAGGCATTACAGGGCACGAGGAAAAACACTGGCTCCATGCTGCTGCACATCTGATGACAAATAACCTCTGCAGAAGATGAAGGAGATAAAGTTGCAATTTTCCAGCTCATGGCAACAGCTCTTAAGAGCCTGGACTGTAAAGTGACCGGCTTTAAATGAGGGGTGACTACCACACTTCTGTTGTACAGGACAGAGCTGGAGGCATTTTCTGTACTCATTTTGGATTTGCATAAGACTAATTTTCAGAAATATCAAGAATGTGCATGTCAGCCCACAGACTCCTTTGACCTATGGGCACATTTTCATCTCACTGAAGTGTGCTAAGCTAAGCCTATCCACTGAATTTACCCCTCCCCAAACATATCTTACTAATTCTGTCAGCATTTCTATTGATCTCCACCTCTGTGCTGTTGAAGCACTCTGATCTCTTCATTTCATGAAGCTGGCGTAGGTCTGGGTCTCTCAGTTTGCCTTTTGGGACCATCCTGCAGTGCTCACACAGTGCCCAAGAGCTGCAGCAACAGCCTGCCTGTGCAGACCTCTCCTGCAGAAAGCCAAACCTTCTGGGATACAGAGGCAACCTGGAAATCCCAGGCAGGGACATGCATGCTCTGTCCCCTCTGAATAGATAGAAAAAGCATTGTCTGTCAAAGAAAGGTACTGCATTTACTTCCTCTGCCTCACTTTGCCTGTGAATCGATTTTTCTGCTGGACCATTCAGAGGGGGGTGGATTTAGGTATCTGTTTCAGCTTTGGAGACTTTCAGAAATGAAAGTGTGTGTGAAAAAGAGAACGTTATGTGTGCAGTCAAGCAGGGATTCCACAACAATTGTATTATCCCTATTTTGGTTTCTTTCCAGATAGCAATGTAACCCTTGGGAGAACTCCAGAATTAGGTCAGGGACCTGGAAGGACATCAATAAGAATCTGAAGGGTTAGCAGAACTGCTTCCCTAATGAACATTTAATGACTTTGAGAGCTATCTGCCTTGTTAAAGATATTCCTGCTTAACGGAACAAAGCAAATGTGGAAAATATGTCTAAGCCTCAGCCTGTAGCACAGCGACAACCTCTGATCCCACAGCATAAGGTCAAGCATCCTATGAGCTGGTTGGCTGCTCCTCTACCCTTGAAAAAAGAGAAATTTAGAGGAGTAGGTGAGTCATACGCTGATAAGTGAGTCCCCATTGCATCCTGTACAGATGCGTGGGAAGCTACTCTAAGCAAAGATGAAAAATCAATATTAGGTTTTTGCATAAGTGACCCTGAGTGAAGCTGAACTTATCAATGATTCACAAAAGACCTTTTTTTTTTTTTCTCTTTAAAAGCCTGAGTAGGGAAGTGCATTAACATGGCACCTCACTGCATCTCTCATTTATTTTAGCTGTTGTTGGTTATCTAAACTGGCAGAGTTAGTAATGGCTGAACCTTCACATTGCAGTAGGAACGGACAGAAAACCAGCAGAGCCCTGGGCAGGGGGACAATGTGGGACTGGGGCAGAGGAAGTCAGGGTCACAGAGCCTGGGAGAAGCCTGTGGAGCACATAAAAGGGCAATGGGATGCCAGAAACCTATTCAAAAAAACAAAAGACATTCTCCAAGGAAGAAAAAAATAACTAACAATTAAACAAGGAAAATATTAAGCCCTCCATAGCAAAGTCTGACAAGCAGCACAACCAATGCACGGGAGAAAGAGGAAGGAAGGCAGGAGAGAAGGACAATGTTTGCCTCAGAGACTTCAGTGCACAGACCTCAGTTTAGGTGGTGCCCATGGTGTGCACCTCAAACAGCAGCTCCCACAAAAAGTGGGCTCATCTGGCAATGCAGGATCAAGGCAACTCCAGCTTTCCTGCTGCAGGGAAGGTTGAACTAAAACATGGGGAAGGCAGCAGCCACAGGTGCCCAGGAGAGGAAGCCACAGCAGTGCATAGCTCTTGCCCCAGCCCAAGCTATTCACCAGGTACTTTTGGGATAACCAGGGTAATAAGATAATGTCCAAGGAGGCTTCCTCTTCTGAAGCCCCACAACTAGAGGCATGGCACACCTCCACTGAGCTGCAAGAAGCTGGGGGAAGCTGGACACAGGCACAAGGGTGCAGTAAACAGCCTGCAGCAACAAGCACAGATACAACTGCAGAATTCAGCTACCTATGGAAAAAAAAAACACCAACACTGAAACAAGCCAAGTGCTAAAAACTTGACCTCATTAATGAGAGCGGATGCTGAACCCTCTGTTCTGTCAGGAGTAGGATGGAGAGCTCCTGCCAGGACAAGCAGCAGCTCTTGGAAGAGAAAGGAAAGACTCACTGGCCCCTGCTGGAAAGGGAACCTCTCCTTCAATGGCAACACATGCAAAGCTGTCCCCTCTCTCCCTGCAAAGAGAGACATTGGCACTGGGGGCTGCTTTGTCCCCTGGTGTTTGAATCTGGAGGGTGATGTGGGGCTGGCTGATGTTTCCCCACGGCACCAGGATGGCAGGGAGGTGGCAGGAGAGAACAGTGGTTATTGAAGACACACACATCCTTTCACATCTATTTACAAGAGATGACAGAAAGTGACTGCAAACAGGATGAGGGACTGTGTGGGAGGAGATGTGAAGGCACTAGGCAGGGCCCATGTGAATAAGCTTTTCAGGCACTTTCTAATCCAGACCCACGTCTCACTTCATTCCCTGCCATAACGCAGTCAGTGACTCCAGCTCCAGCTTGAATGACAGACAGTGATTCACACACAGGAAACACAGAATCATAGAATCATTTGGTTTGGAAAAGACCTCTAAGATCATCGAGTCCAACCATTAACCCAGCACTGTCAGTCCACCACTAAACCAGATCTCCAAGTACTCCATCTACACGTCTTTTAAATACCTCCAGGGATGGCGACTCAACCACTTCCCTGGGCAGCCTGTTCCAATGCTTGACAAACATTTCCACAAAGAAATTTTTCCTAATATCCAACCTAAATCCCCATCCCCACCACCCTGGCAAAAATTGAGGCCATTTCCCCTTGTCCAGTTGCTTGTTAGTTGGGAGAAGAGGCTGACCATCACCTGACTACAACCATCTTTCAGGGAGCTGTAGAGAGTGATGAGGTCCCCCCTGAGCCTACTTTTCTCTAGGATGAACACCCCCAGCTCCCTCAACTGCTCCTCACAAGACCTGTGCTCCAGACCCTTCCCCAGCTCCATTGCCCTTCTCTGGATTCACTCCAGCATCTCGATGTCTTTCTTGTTGTAAGGGGCCCAAAACCTGACCCCAGTACTGAGTCCTGGGGAACACTGCTGGTGACCAGATGCCAGCTGGATGAAGCCTCAGTCACCACCACTGCCTGGGCTTGGCTGTTCAGCCAGGTTTTTACCCAGCAAACTGTGCACCCACCCAAGCCATGAGCAGCCAGTTTCACTAGGAGAATGCTGTTGGAGACAGGATCAAAGGCTTTACTAAAGTCCAGGTAGACAAATCCACAGCCTTTTGCTGTGATCCACTAAGTGCATCGTAGAAGGAGATCAGGTTAGTCAAGCAGGACCTGCCTTTCCTAAACCTGTGCTGGCTGGGTCTGATCTCCTGGTTGTCCTGCACGTGCCAGGTGATGGCACTCAAGGTGAATCTTCCCTGGCACTGAAGTCAGACTGACAGGCTTGTAGTTCCCCACATCCTCCTTCTGGCCCTTTTTGTAGATGCCTGTGACATTTGCTAACTTTCTAGTCAATTTGGACCTTCCCAGTGAACCAAGACTGCTGATAAATGATGGAAAGTGGCTCAGTGAGCACTTCCACCATCTTCCTCAGTCCCCTTGAATGGATCCACCCAGCCCCACAGACTTGTGTGCAACTAAGTGGTGTAGCAGGTCACTGTTCATTTCCCCTTGGCACTGCTTTAACAAGGTGCTTTTGAAGAGAGGGAAAAAACATTTCTAAGCTTACCCTCACTCTCCTTGCAGGCAAGGGCTGCCTGGGGTGGGTGCTGCCCCACGGAGGGACCATTGATTTCTGCCATGCAGGGCAGGAAGCTGCAGAGCAGTGGGAGACTTTTGCTTTGATTTGCCTGAGTAACCCAACTCTAGATTGCAATGGAGCCATCTGGAAAGGAGGCCAGACAGAAGCAAGCAGCAGCCACCAGCACATGGTAGGACAATGGCATTGGAGTTATAAGGAGACAGGCCTCTGCATAAAAGGCAAAACGAGTTTGCCAGTTACAGCCATGGTGCTGCCCCCCCTGTAGCTGGCTGGCAGGCTCAGGAACCTGATTGGAGATTTCCCTGCTTTCACCCTGGCAGGAAGGTGAAGTGCTGTCTTCCCTCTATGGACAACACTGGGAGCAGAGATGTGGGGAAGGAGCAATGCACAGACCACTGTAGCTTTGATGGGGAAGTTTTCTAACTTAAGCATCCTTAGATGCTGCCTGTGGTGGCTTTGGGGTTGGAAAGCCACTGTGTCCATTGTAAAGCAGAGACCACCACAGCTACCCCGGCAGTGGCACTGTGCTCCTGCCAGAGCACAAGCTGCACCACGCCAGTCAGCTTGGCTGCTCATCCCTCCTCACACAGCAGGATTCACTGGGCTGGGGTCAGCACTGTGCAACACCATTAGCAGCCACCAGTCAGGCAACAAATGAAGAGATTTGGCCCGGGTTTGCACCCTGCAGGACATTCAACTGGTTTGTTCCTCAGCTTGAACCCCACTGGCTTCCTCCAGCAAACACCAACCCCATCCAGATCCAAAAGCAAAGCCCATAGAGCCTCTTCCATCCCCACCAAGGGGAACAGAGAGGCCGAGGCAGCCCACAGCACTCAGCACTGCAGGCGGCGGTGGGACCCCCGGGGCACCGGCGAGACAGCACAAAACCGGGGCAGAACAGGCTGGAAAACAGACCAGACACCTTCAAGGAAGAAAACAGCCCATTAAAGACCATTAAACACACAAAAAAAATCCCACTAGTGGTTTTGTCAGTGCTAGCCTAATTCTCCTTATGTGCTTACTCTGCTCTCATCTTCTTCCCTGCAGCAGCAGTGCAGACAGACTGACAGACAGGCCCTTGGTCTGTCCTACTCCTTGTGCCCACACAGCACAGCCCCTTCCCTAAAGACAGTGAGCCGGGGCTTTTTGTGATGAAGAACAGCTTTTGATAAATGGAAATTTTCCTGGGAAAGTCTGACCCTTTCATTCACAGGTTTTCAATTTTAAATACATTTTGGAAAAAAAAAAAAAAAAAAAAAAAAAAAAAAAAAAAAAAAAAAAAAAAAAAAAAAAAAAAAAAAAAAAAAAAAAAAAAAAACAGGGAAAATTCATAAAAACAGACACATACACATATTTTCCTTTGCCTTTTTAGTTTTGTGCCAAAAAAACACTTCTTGCAGTGGGCCAGGGCTCAAAAAGAATTGGTTCCAAACCACCCTGTCCCCACTCTCCGGCTGTGACAAAGCAAGTGGCCTGAAAACCCGCAGGTTTCTGTTGGAAGCAGCTCCCCAGAGAGGCTCTGGGCCTCGGGGGCGATGCCGGGCTGCAGAGGCGCAGCCCCTGGGCCGAGGTTTGCGCCGGTGGGCGCTGCAGGGCTGCCCACACTCCATCCATCCCTGAGCCGGCACAGCCAGCACCGCCCCAGCACCCGCCGGGCCCGAGCCCCCGGCTCATGATTCACAGCTGCGGCTCTGAAGCCATGAATCACCGGAGCCCATCTCCTTCCTGCCAGAGCCCGGCTGTGCATACGCGTGTAGTTAGTTATTTACGACGGGCGATGCAGGGCAGCTCTCCGGGTGCAGTGTCAGGGTACCGCACGCCAGGGAAGTGCCTGCAGATGAAATACCACAGTATTTTCCTGCCCTGAGCATGGCAAAGGCGCTGGTGGCTTCTGGGGACCAGGAAAGCGCTGCCCCGAACCCCGCTCCCCACACAGAGACAGGGAACAGCTGCTCCAGGCTGTCCTGTCACATCCTCTGTGGACAAGAGCAGGACTCTGCAGGGGACACGTGCCCACGTGCACTCTCTCAGGGCACACTTCATGTCATTCTGAACTCCTGTGTCAGAAATAGTCAGGCTCCTTTTACTCTAGAGACACGCAACTGATTACAGACAGGTATGATAGCATGTATCTATATGCATATGCCATCAAACCACTAGCAGAGGATCAACCTGCACATTCATAAAACTCCTTTGAGACAAAGGATGCTGCAAGCAGCCTTTCCCATATTATTTTAAAGTATAATGGTATTGTAATTAAATATCTGGCAGTAGCATTTCCTTTCCATATTTTAGTTAAATAGCACATTTTTAAAACCAAGCTGGGCTGCTCAGAAGCAGCCACCTCCCTGACACTCCCCAACAGGCAAGAGCCAGGATGGCCAAGTGCCTCTTGGAATATTCCTCAGGCTCATCACAGCCATAACAAACACCAGCAGGAGACACAAGTGCCATGGCCTCCATGGGCACTGTTTAGAGAGAACCTCAGCCCCAGATGGGCAGCACTGTGGGAAAGGGGCATAATGGGTAGAATGTGAACATGGGCAGGGTAAATACCCATCTTGTAAAGCCTGCAGCAATCTGCATACAAAGTATGTTTTGAAAGATAACAGTGTGAGAATCAGAGCTGTCCAGGCTCCTATTAAAATATTAATATTTAGGCTCTTTGTTATTTGCACAAACACCCTGGGGGAACACGTGCTGTTATGGGTCTCAGGGTCCTCCCCTGGAGCCCCGGTGACACAAGGCACTGACACAGGTGCCCTGTCACCACCAGTCACAGAGAGCCACAGCCACCTCCCAAGGACATAGTGAGCCCAACATTGCCTTTTCTTAGAACAACCCCAGAAAGGCAATTTGTGCCTCACTCCAGTCTGCAGGGGACAGACTCTGCCCTAGAGCATTTCTTTAATTCACCACATTATTGCCCTTCTAAAGTAACTGTGGATCCTTGTAATTGCCAAATCCTCTTCAGATTCTAAGTAAGCTGTTAAGGCCAAGGCCTTTGGTAACAGCAGTAATATAGACCTGACCTTCCCCCTAAAGGGGGCTCTGCGGAGATCCCAACAGTCCCATAGCCCAACAGGGCACAAGAAGCTGCATGGGGATAGTGGGTGTCTCCAAACACCACAGGAGAGAGGGCAAGGGCCAGGGCAAGAGGGTAAGGACTGGGAGCAGCTCCAACTGCCCAGCCCTTGGCCTCTCAGCCCTGCTTTGCCTCCAGGTGAGACCACCCCTCTGCACCACACCCCTGCCATGCTGCAGCACTGTGCCCCCAGACACTTCTCAGCCCATCTGAGGCTTCATCACCAGCTCCCAAAGAAGCCTTGTGGTCCCTGAGGAAAGGATCACCTTGCCCACCTCTCTAATGATGATGCCCAACCCCTCAGGCTGCTTATTTACCGACCTGCTTGTTATTATTAAAGGGGCTGGTTGAAAAAAACGCCAAGAGTTTGGCCAGGACACATCAGCCATGCTCTTGCAGCTCTCCTTGGACAGGGTCCTGCAGACCCACAGCCATGGGAGCATTAGGAGCAGGAAGATGGAGGGAAAGAACTGTTGTGTTGTGAGGCTCCCACCAGTGACCCCACCCCTTCAGACATATTCCTCATGAAATGAGGTGATTTCCAGAAAGACCAGAAGAAAACCATACTGGAAATACAACCTGGGCAGCACCTGCCCCACACCCTCCCTGATAAATATGTCAGCAGCGTGGGCCAGCATGTACCTAGTGCCTGCAGTTGCTCTGTGAGGGATGGGCCCCCTTTTGCCTTCAACATGCATTTCAGGCCAGAGTAACCCCTGTTTTAATTGCAGCTCAGCAGCACTCCTCAGGGAGTCTAAAGATAGTCCTTTGGAAATGAAGGTTGTGTTACCTCTGGGAGCAGCTGGGGCACTTTTAGCTCCTTCAGTTTGACATCCCAGCCCTACCTACATCAGGAGACAGGAAACATACAGGAGAATTCAGTGGTTTGGGGCACTGACTCCAGGAGAGGGAAAATGGAGATGGCCCAGCAGCCCCCTGAGCAGTTTGCTTTGTCAGAGAATGGAGACTCTGTGAGAAGTACTCACCCTGACGCTGTAGGTCGTTCCTGGCTCCTGGGTGTACGTGCTCTCATCGCTCTGTGTGAGGCTCCTGTCCTGCCTGCCCACAGGAGCAGCCTCCTCAGCCCCTCGCACAGCGCAGTCACCTGCTGGCTTTGGGGTTAGGACCAGCTTATCCAGGTCAGGCTGTGGATAAGAGGCCGACAGGCAGCTGATCTCGGGCGAGGTTGGGCTGCTCGGGATGGTAACGCACTCCGTGAGTTTAATTCGTGGCACCTCTTTCGTTCCCAGGCAGAAATTTTTCAGCCCCGGCAGATTTGATGGGTTGGCAAGTTTAATGTTCGCCATCCGGGGGATCAGCGTGCACAGGGTGGTGCAGGTGTCCTGTGGCCCCAAGGAGACATCTTCTGTCAGTAAATTAGGTGTTGAAGAATGGGAAGAGGAGGAAGAACCTTTGATATTTAAAGACGTATTTTGTGTACCTTCGTCTAGGGATGTTATGGAATCATTCCTGAATCGGCTGTACTTAGCCCTGTGCAGCATTCCTGGATGTCTGAATAACCCTACATACAGGACGTGTCCACCGAGGCTCTGCTGGCTGCGTTCTCTCATAGCCTTGGCAGGTCTGTAATTGGATATTCTTGCATAAATTGCCTCTTGTAGATAATTTATATGGAAATCAAGCAAGTCAAATAATTTTCGAAACAGAAACCTATCGGATATTTTTGCTGACTCCCTCTTGAGTGGTTTATTTTCCTCAATGGACAAGGCTTAAAACTGCATGGACATCTGGCATTTTGTAAGCAGTAATAAAAGCAGCATACGGGAAAGCACATCAGTGGTACAGCAGCTTAAGCTGACGAGCCGCTATCCAAACCTGCCTTCATTCCTGCCTCAAGCCAGGCACTAAATCCCACCTAGCTCTGAAGACTTACAGCTGTAGCATCATTAATTACCGAGTCCTGGCTGCAGCGAAAGCTCAAGCATATTCCACACAAAGCACAGCGAGAGAGCTACAAGCTCAAACGTATTTTCAGACCGGCATGAACCCCGAAAGGTGCCCAGCTCTCTGCACTTCCACCGCCGCTGCCCCAGAGGCGAAGAGCATCCCTGCGCTGCAGCTCCTGCCCCGCCGTCAGGCACAAACCCACGAAAAACACTGAGCAGCGTCGGTCTCGCTAATTCCTGCTGGAAAAGTCCTTCAGCACCGTAATAATCCAGGAACAGCCGGGTATTGCCGCGCCCCCGGGGCCGTTCCCCGCAGCGCCCGGGCCGGCCCCGCCGCAGCCGCCGCAGCCGCCGCCGCCGGTTTTATGAATGAAGTTTTTTGTGAATGGGCTGGGCGCGTGCGGGCGGGCACCGCCGTGAATGGCGCTCGGCGCGCGGCCGCGGCCCGGCGGCCCCCGGGGGGCGCCTCGCAGCCAATCAGCGCCCGCCGCCGGCTCACGCGCCCTCGGCGCGCGGGGAGGGGGGGAGAGGGGGCGCGAGGGACCCTCCGGTGGCGCCCAAAATCCCCCAAAAATCCGCTTTCTGCGGCCGGTCCTCCTCCGCCGGCGGCACTGGCGGGGCCAAGAGCTGCGGCTCAGCCCGAGCCGGGGCTGCGGCGTCCCCCGCGCTGCCCACTCGGCCCCAAGGAAAGGGCAGGCTCGTCCCAGCGCTCCCTGCTCGGCAGCTCAGCTCCTGCCCCGGGGGGAAGCCCCTCTCAGGCACCGCTTGTAGCTCCGGCGAGCGGGGTTTATTTTACGCCCTGGAAATGTCAGGGCCCTCAGCACGTTACCTCGGCTCCGTGTAGGACTTCCACACCTGGGGCAGCGCGGTGGGAAGAGAAATGCAGCACCATGGGGGTCGGGCCCGGAGGGGAAAACCGGCACGAGGGCCTCGCTTCCCACATAAGCTGAGGCCTTTTCTCTCGCTAGATTTTCAGTGGTGATTTTCACGCTCACAGTGGTACCGGCCTCATTCTCTCCCGGCGTTCAGAGCTGTGAATCAGCTGCTGGTGCATGAGGAGAGGCTGTGCTGCCCAGTGCCCTGCCTGTGACAGAAGGAGAAAATCACAGCCAGAGCGCTGGAGAGATAGAGCACAACATTGCCATGCCATTTTTTTTCTCTGATATAAAAGGTGGCATTAATCCTAAAGATGCAATAGTTGCTGCAATAAAGTAGGGGAAAAAATCTGGTCCAGACTGTTAGTGAAACGTGGCTCAAAGAGGAAGTAGCTGCTTTTGAATCATCCCTTTTGGGGGGATGTTCACAAAATCAAACCCAAAGGCAAAACCTGGACCAGCCACAAGTTACAAAGAGTGACTAATTTCTCATGGAGCTTTAATCATAGCTTTGAGCACAAAAGGATAGAAAATGTTCAGAAATGATTAGCAGCACTATTGATTGTACATAAAGCACAGAAACTCTCTTAGCATGAATATTCTTCTTTCTTAACTTTCATTTCTACACCACACTGGAACATGACATCAACATGGCTGGAAAAAATCCCTGGGATGGAGAGGCCATGGAGCCCACAGTGGTGAGGAGGAAGGCCTGGAGGGAAGTGCCAGCTGTGCTTCCCATGAAGGGACAACAAGGACCAGTGTAGAGGGAGATGCTGATGCCCCATTCTTGGGGGACCTTCCAGATTTCTCTTTTCACTGCCATGAAAAACATGCAAACAGACAAACCAAATCTCCTCTTCCTGCAAGATCAGCCTTGCCATCCTTCCTACCTTTTCTCTGAGCACACAACAAGGGTCTTCCTGCCTTACAGCAGTCTCTTGGCATAAATGAGGGCACCAGGAAAGGGTGACTTGGTGACCAGGACACTCCCCTATGCCTTAGCTCGGGTCAGACTAGTTCATAGCCATGGGCTGTCTCTGGCTCATGATGGTCCTCATGTCCTTCACCAGCTGCTTCTTCCTCAGGAGGCAATTTGAGCCTTCCTAACCTGTGTGAGTGAGAAAATAGACTGGCCCTACAGGAGATGCAGCCCCTCTGTGTCCTACTGCAGCTAACAGAGCTGGCAGGTGAAAAGGGTTCATGGGACAGGCTTCAAACCTGTGTGGGGAAAGGGGACATTCTCAAGAAAAAGAAATAATAATGCAGCAGCCTGTCCTTCACTAATCATCCACCAGCTGTGTCTCAAGCTCTGCATGGCACCAGCACCTGCTGCCCTGTGGTCAAAGTGTTGTTGTCCCCCTGGGTGCTCAGGGGGGCTTCGCCACAGAGGCGAGGGAGGCCGGTGCTTCAGTCTCCACATCTCTGCTCACAGGCACCAGCAAGTGTGATTGCAGTGTGGGAGGTGAGGAATAGCTGGTGTTTCACTGCAAGTTCCAGAGAAAAATGCAATTGTGACAAGCTCTGTTTTCAGCAGCGATCAAGAAATACAAGCTCGAGAGCAGAACCCTCTTGGACAATGATGCAAAGAGGGGCATTGTCCAAGGAATAGTAGCTATTGTGGGGACGGAGAGGAGGGAAAAGAAAAATACCATGCCTTTGTGAATTAAAAAGCTTTTTTCTCAAGGCTAAAAACAAGATTTCTGTTTAAGATACTGGGAAATCAGCCCTCTAACCAGCACGGAGAACAAAGCTCCTTTAAGCACTGGTGAAACTGAGCCCACAGCCTTGTATGCTGCCTAAAAGGAGCCTGTGTTTCTTGCTCACAGCTCAAGTTCCTGGTTGCCCACAGTACTCAGGGCCCAGGGAGCTGCCCCAGCTCCACCCACCCACCTGCTGCTGCCCCAGCAAGACACAGGGAAAAGTCACTTTGCCCCTACCATGCCTGTTGACATGTGATGGTGTATGCTTTCTCAGGTACATGGGAATGCCCTTCTGGTGCACGGTTATGAGCTGAAACCTCCCTCAATCGCAGTTACTGGCCCCATCACACCCAAACCTTCCATCACACCCTGTTTACAGCCCCAAACAGCCTTTCAGCCTCAAATATGCTGTATAAAAAGCTGATAGGAGCAGCCCCCAATCACTTATGGTCACAGGGGACAGCAGTTTTGGCAGGTGCAACCACATTGATGGGGCAGTACCATTCCACAGGAGCGGGAGCAGTTAACCAGCTACAGCCACTTCCAACACCCCTCTAAAAGAGCTGCAGAGAAGGAGGAGAGATGGCAGCAGCCACACCTCCAGCATCACCACTGGCAGCCTTGGTGGCAGGAAGCAGCAGTGCCAGGCACCCTTGGGAGCAACACCATTTCAGATCTGGGGCTGTGGGATCACAGCTCCAGCAGGCAATTAATGCCACCACCCCACCCTCTGTGTGCAGCACCGGGGCCAGGGAAGGGCAGGGGCCAGGACAGGTGCACATGCCTGGTGACAGGAGAGCTCAAGGCGAATTGGGGACCAATTTAATGGAGAGCAGCAGCTCGGCAGCCTCACACCGGGAGCGTGGGGGCAGCACGGGGAGAGGAGCTGCCGCCCCCGTGCAGAGCACACCTGAAAAGTAGGTGCAGGCTCACAGCAACCCAGAGGAAGCTGTTTTGTGCTGCTTGCAACTTAGCCTTTCTGTTAGAACACAGAATGAACAGGGGATTTTTTTCCCCTGTATAAATAGCAACAGCAGAGTTAACTCACGCTGAGGTGCACAGAGCTGGTCCGCCTTCCTTCCTCATTGACATGCCTGGCTGACACTGGTAGAAATCAGCAAAGTGTTGCAGAACAGCAGGAAAATCCAGAAACCAGCAACGTGCTGGCAGGTACCTCTGGGAAGCCCTGGAGCAGCTTATTTTAACTAGTGAAAGTCATGCACAGAAACTGTATTATTTCAATTGAAAGTTATTTTCCCACTTGCATCAGTCTCACTGTTTTATCTCCTAGCCCTTGTTCTGAAGGAGGTAAAACCAGATGTATTTGATAACTGCAGCCCCTCCTACTTTTCAGGAGAGTTAGGGTTTGCTTGGGCTGAAAACAGAGATCAAAGGCAATGGGTTTGAGGCGAACAAAGGCTGGATACAAAAGCAGAGTCAGAGATTAGACTATCACTGCTTTTCTCCTGCTCTAGCTCTGAAGTGCTAATCCCAGAAAACATGTCCTAGGGTGATTGAAAGTCGAGTTGCAATTTTCCTTCTTGGGTACCGTGCTGTGTTTAGCTCAGCCCAGTTTAACCACTTACAGCAACATTGCTCTGTCCAAAACCGCAGCTCCGTGACCGCAGCACTGCACCGGGACAAGGCAGCAGGAGACAGGGCTTTTCCACCTGAGCAAAGAGCACATCCTTGTGGCTGAGCAGGAGCGGGAGGAACCAGCCTGGTGTGCGAGAGGGCTTAGCTGGTTGTGCTCCATGACCTCCCTTTTCAGCTCCTCTTTGCCTGGCAAGACCACCACACCCTCCTTCAAGCACTGCTGGGCTTTGCCTTTTCCACCAGGACAGTCCCGTAGCACAGGGGAAAAGAAACAAGCTGGAGAGTCCTTTACAAGAGCCCAAAATTCAGAGCCTGAAGGTTGCCCAAGAACCAGCCCAGAGCCAGTCCTTGCACCTCTGAGGGAAAGCAGCTATCAAAGACAAAGCAGCGAAAGCTGAACACTGAAACACAGCACAGTGTGGGGCTCCCGTGCCACAGCTGTCCCACCTGTGAGGGGGATGGTGCCAACCTCTGCAGGTTCAACAAGGACATACTGAAAACACTGGAGCTGCAAGCCATCAGAAAACAGCATGCTGCCCTAACCACTGCTTTCTGAAAGGAGATCTGCATCCTAAGAGCCCAAAGATGGATTCAGCAGCATTGCTGGCCTGGCTCAGCACTGCCTGCAAGGAGGCCAAGAGCCCATGAGCAAAACACAGCATCACTCACTGTCTCTTGTTCCACAAAGTGTTGAAAGCCACAGCAGATTAAGTGTCTATTGCCTGGCTCCAGCTTTAAGCACAGCCCCATATCAGGAGACAAAGACAAATTTCAGCCTAAAGCTTCATCCCTGCAGAATTAGCCACTACATGAGACAAGTTTCAGCAACAGCACCACTAAACTACTGTCACCTCCAAAGGAAGGTGGAAGCAGTCATGTTTTAGTGGCATCATGAGGCTTGGTATGCATGTGGTAACAGGCAGGGAACATCCTTCCTTCAATTCAGCTTAAAGTTGTATTTTTGTAGGGCATTCCACTAGCACATATTTGAAAACAATAAATCCCACAAACAGGGTTGAACTTCTCCCAGTGTCTCCTTAGGTGTGCATCTCCCGCTTCCGTCCTTGGTTGCCTTTAACTTGGAAAAAAATCAGAAAGGAAACTTTGATATAGGGGCATTTCCAATTACTTTTATTTGTTAATTTGTTCTCTTCCTGTACAGTCAGCATTCCTCCACAAGGAAGGCTTTACAAGAGCTTCTTCCAGTTCTTGCTACTCACAGCTTTTCTTGCCAAACAT